TTTGAATCCGTGCGCATGCAACGAATTCTTATTCAAAATCCATATTCTACATTTCCGGTGTGTTCGTATGTGTGTGTGTAATGCCATGTCTGAAAGCGAATGTAAATAGCAATTTATAAGGTTACTTCATATTTTCTCATTGCTTTTTAATCTTTTCCGTTTCTTTTTATCGCAGTAAAAGAATTATCCGTGTAACTCACTTCTCAGCGAGACATACTTGATTCTCGTAAATCTTTGGACTTAATGAATATTCAACAGGAAATACGAACGCGCGATACGACGATGGAAAAAAGATTATCTTTCCTGTTTATCGATATTCTTGACGCCGGAATTACACAGCCTGTCGATACAGCTCCGTTCTATAAATTCACGCGACTTGTCTGCCACTTTTTCGTCGATCATCCAATTATTCTCGATGGAGTGGATAAAACGCGCAATCGCCGCGCACTGCTCGCGCAGAACGACCCCACTACGCCGTTATATTGCATCCTAACGTGGAAAGAATGGTCAAAGAGAGAGCCGATTGAATCCTCTGATACTTTGGCAACGAAGGAAATTCTAAGAAAACTCCAGAAAGAATAAAATATCGAAATGAAAGAGAAGAGCGCCAGAAATCAGCGATGGATATCAAACATTACTGTTATTTCAATGTCTTATGATAATGGAAAAAGTAATGAAGAAAGCTCGTTCGATTTCCCAGTGAAAATAAAGATATTTCAAATGACGCTATTGGATCATCGCGCGTATGAAATGCGTACTTCGCAAAAGTCTCGGTTTTACGACACGTTTTCATTACATAAATGTCTTCGGCTAATTAAGCGTTATATATCATGTTTAATATGATATTATCCTCTTAACAATACTTTACTTTCTGCGAGACATTTGCAATTTCTCAAATTACAGTGGAAACGTGGAGGAAATTAGAAAACTCACATCATTCTATTATATTACTTTGTAACTGATATAAAAATTAAAATTAAAAGGATACCGTAAGAGAGAAATACGTTGTTGCCTAACATCATTCCACTCCTTTTATTATCCCGTAATAATTTATCCTGCAAATATTTATCACACTCCGTTTCCTTATTCTTTACATCTCGAGTTTAACAGCGGCGTAAAATGCGCCGTCCACATATTTCCCGCCGTTCAATTATTCCCAATCGATCGAACACTCGGATGCGTCGTGGCACGTCCGAGAACGATCCCGCCGCGGCATGCCGCGACACAAGGAAAGTCCTTCAGGAAGCACTGATTTGAATCTATACGGTCTGTAAAGTTCATTAGATTTAAATATTTATGAGATGGGCGCGGACCGCGCAGGAGTACAAGACTCCGGGTCAATTTGGTGGCGCAGAGAAAACGACTTCGATTCTTTAGTCCCGCGGGGGAGCGCGATGCAGCGGATGCCGCATCTTTCCTGAGCGAAAACTTTTCCAACCGCGGATTACGAGAGGAGAGACTACTCCCGAAGACAAATGGCGGATTTAATTGGCCGGACCGCTCTACGAATTGGAAGTCTTGCCAGGCGTCGCACAAAACAACCAGCGTCGGCGGATTGGTTGCATAATGCGCGCGGTCGATTTTACTTTCAGATCGCGTATTGTTTATTCCGCGTCCCTCGCGTCTCCGCGCGACGCGCAGTATCTGTCTCGTTCTTGCTCACGCAGGCTATCGATAATAAGCGCGCTTCCCTGGTTATCGATAACGCGGCGATCGAATTTCGAAGTCGACGTCGATACTCCGCTTCTTCGACCGCGCTGCAGCGGAGTAACTTTAATCGAAATGCCGTCAAGGGAAGTCGTTATTTTTCCAGCTTGGCGGATTATCGATGATACCCATTGACAGTCGGTTCATCGATAATCAGGGAAAGACGATGGATGGAGAGCTCTACAGAGAGACGAGAAGGGCAATACGAAAAATCTCATGAAAGCCAGAATTCGCCGCGCACGGAACGGCGCTCCCCGACGGTACGTATCACATATTTACGATCAATCCGGAAGTAAGGCCGTAAACGATGGTAGCGCATGGACGGATACGATACTGTAGCAAAAAAGAGCCGGTTGACTGTACAGTTATGAACGTACCGGACATAAATTTGTCTCCGGTCGGAGATTAAACGCGGCTTCCTACAACGCACCGCGTTCCGCGAAATTCGTGAAATCCCTACACACGCGCGGAAAGCTGGGGTGCCTCTCGCGGGACTCGATCGCCGGCGAGTGCGGTTTGATGGGCGGAGCAATAAAACTTTGGCAACGGTGTAAATCAACCGACTTCGGGACCCGGAGAATTCCAACACCGAGAGCCTACCGCGGACCTTTACTAGGACAACGTGGCGGTCTCCAGCCGAGATCTTCCACGTCAGAATTCGGCCGAAAACCATAGATCTCTGCGGTCTCTCACTCGAAAGACTCGCGTTCCAATTTCACGAACTCTCGCCGTCGACTAAATAAAAAATTTTTGAATTTTTCTCCACGTTGCGTCTTTAGTGTCAGCAAAATCG